CCCTCAAAGACCCTTGGCAGAAAGCCCACCACCGGCGTCCACACAGCCCAGAACCCGCTCCCTTCATTCTCTTCTGGACACTTGTTCTCTTACAATCGTGGAAACCCACCCTCACCAGGGTGGCCAAGATGGGGCAGGACCTGGGCCTCAGGGGCAGGCCACAGGAACAGCTAAAGAACAGGGCAGCCTGACACCCCGGGGGAGGAAGGCTGCGTTGGGCAGACCCTCCACATGAAGGCCAGGCCCTGGGGACAGCCTGGACAGCCTGTGTGGAGGGTCCAGGTGAACACACACAAACAGGCCCACAGCTGGGGACTGACAACGGTGCAGGGTCAAGTGAGGTTCTCCCGGGAGGGTGTCCCCAAGCAGGGGACAGGAAGGGAGTGCTGGGAATGACATCTGGGTGCAGCAGGCAGCACCAGCTGGTCCTCCTGACAATGAACAGACAGTTCACCCCAGAATGTCCTCCGTGCAGGCAGGGCAGGGCAGAGAGCCGGGCGTGGCTGGGGCTGGGCTTATCAGGCAGAGAGGGCACACCCACATGGAGTCGCACACACAGGTGCAGACAGGAGAGGGACAGCAGCAGGACACTCCTCACTCCTGTTTGCACAGACCAAGCCACCCAGCAGCATGGCTGCCCACATCCTTGCTGAGGCCCTGCCCACTGTACTTCCCAGCCTTGGTGTTAGGGCCAGGCTTTGACTGGCCCAGCTGAGGAGTGGAACAGAGTCCTGGCTTCACCATGGCCCATGGCATTCATGTCAACYAGAGTCAGGCCAGGGGGGAGCAGCTTCGGGCTCCCCCTAGTCAGCAGCCCTGGGGGTTAGGACCTGCCCTCTGCCTACCCCCGAACCCAGGGCTCTGGGGACATGGAAGACCCGGGCACCTAACTGAAGATGATGGCATGACATGTGTCACACCGAGAGACTGGGACCTGACCTCAGCTCTGTGCCTYCTCCCACTGCCTGAGCCTGGGGGTGCCCTTGCTGCCCCCCTGCAGGGCCCCTGGACCCAAGTAGGTGAGCGAGGCCCAGTGAGGCCCCAGGGAAGCTTCCCATGTCCACCTCGGTGCTGCTCCAGCTGCAGACTCAGCCCAGGGGCCAGGATGCCCTCTCCCGAGGCGCGGGGTCTTCAGGAGCACCCCAGCCTCCGCCGTCCCCCGGGGCCTCGTCTGCAGCAGGGACAGCAGCAGCAGTCCACACCCACGTCCTTCCTCACTTCCTAGCTCCTGTTCCACGGAGAGGCCCCCGGAGAGCCAGGCTGTGGGGTACCCATCCCCCAGATGCTGACCCACCCTCACCCCCAGAGTCCAGGGGCCTCAGAGTCCAAGGCCAGGGCTTCCACTCTGGGATGGCTGGACACTGGGCCCAGGAGGGGAACAGAGGGGCCTGTTGTGCGGGGGCTGCACAGGCTCCCTCTGCCTTGCGTGCCTGCCCCAGGGGCTGGGCGGGAGCTCAGGAGACCTGACCTTCTGCCCAGGAGCAGCCGCTTGAGGGGGGCAGCCCATTCAGACCTTCAACTTTCAGGAAGACTTCTCCAGAYCCTCCTGGAACATGGAGAGGCCGTGAAAATCCACCAAAGAGGCACACAGAAACCAYCCCAGCCAGTACCCAGCGTGTCCAACCTGCCTGTGAAGACCAGGAGAGCAGGCCCAGAGGTCCTGGCTGGACTGCTCCAAAGGAGGCATCCCACTGGGGCCCAGTGTTAGGGAGACTCGGGGTGCGCCCTAGGGACTAAAGGGGCATTTGCCTGGCTGGGGGGGATCCTGCACAGAACAGCTTCTCAGGTGCCCCTACTGCCCAAGGGGGCATCAAATGACAATCTTCATCCTGAAGTTTCTGGGGCAGAGAAGTGAGAGCAGGGAGTGAGTGGTTAGGCACTGTGCAGTCCTATTCCAGGAAAAGAGCACAAGAAAGCGGGGGGCGGGGGGCGGGAGGTAATGCTGAGCCTGTGACCAGGAGCCCTCTCATTCCAGCAGCATGGCAGGAAGATCCCGAGCCCCTGCTGTCATTCAAGATAGCCAGAGCCCAGGGAAGCAGGCCTCCAAGCCTCCAAGCCTGGACTCCAACAGACCCGGAGAGCCAGCTCTCTCGGTACAGGGCCCTGTCCCCTCTGCTCAGAGAAGTCCTAGTGGGAGTTCTGCCTGGTGGGAGTTCTTGCCAGGRGCACTGGGACCTAGGTGCAACCCTGCAGGAAGCTCCTGGACTCCCACCCAAGGCGAGGGAGGCTTCAGCCTTGAGAGCATGGCTTCCTCCACTCAGAAGCTGGAAGACCCAGTACTCATCTCTGGGAATCCGAGGCCAGCAGAGGAGTGGTTGGAAGCTGCCAGTCCTCTCTACCTCAGCCCACTTGTGCATCTCCWCACTGCCAACGGCAGCTCCTCGCTCATCCCGAGTGCCTGTCTGCACCAGGCTCGTGGCTGGGCGCTGCTGGCACGCTGGAATGGGAGGGCTCAGGTCCTGGGCATGGACCTCCTCCCACCTTCCTCGTGCTCTCTTCCTGGAGTAGGGCTGCATCGGGCCTGACCACTCACTCCCTACTCTCACTTCTCTGCACTTGGAGAGGACCAGGACACAGATGTCCCTGGCTCATCCTCTCCTCATCACAGCCTGGACTACTGCCACCAAAYGCCAGCAGACCCGCACTCTCCAGTCTGAGACCTTCACCTCCCACCAGCCACCTCTCAGCAAACCCTGAGCCGGGGGGCCTGGCTGGCCAGGAGGGGGTCCGTGTGTGCAGAATCGGGACTCTCCCATAACTGGGGGATGGGGGGTGAGACCCCTAGTCCCCATCTGGCAGACAAGGAGAGTGAGGCCCAGGAAAGGTAAGGGCCTGCCAGAGTTCACCCACAATACAAAGGCGGCAGCTGGTCCCCCTGCTCTTCAGGATGGGTGGCTCTAGGCCCCACCCCTAAACCGTGAGGATGTGGGAGCTGAAGGCAGAGGAGCTCCAGCRGACCCTTCACCCGTCTGCAGAAAAGCCATACTGGCCCCAGCCCTGTCTAGGAAGAGCCCTCAGGACAGGACCAGGCTTTCCAATGCTGTCCAAACCCCATGTCCAGAATGGATGCTCCTCCACTCTGCTTCCTGTCCAGCTTCTCTGGCCTGCTTAGTGCCCATTGGGTGCCCCACGCCATGAGGTCCTGGGCCACCAGCCTCCCTCCCTCCAGTCCACAGGCGGTGGGAAAGCTGACCTGGAGTGTCCTCAGCTCCCACATGGCCACACCCCTGGCCAGCAAGCTTCTGCATGGACGGACCCCTGCTCACCCACATCCCAAGCACCGCCTCCTCTTCCAGAAGTCTTCCTAGATCTCTGGACCCTCTGTCCAGCCCTTCATTATCAACCAGCTCAGCTCAGGTCGATGGCTACACACCTGTGGGGTCCCTGTTCCCCTCAACAAGGTCCTGCTCCCACCCCCAGCAGCGGGTAAAGAGAGAGGGCACAGGTGTGGGCCTGGACCGAGCTGGCTCACCATGCCTGCCTCTGACTAGGCCCTCCTCAGCCCCCAGGCTGTTTCCCACCCCAGGCCAAGTCCTCAGGCTGGCTCTGCTCTGTCAGACTCACAGTTCCACCAGAAACCTGTGTCTTTCTCTCCCTTCTTATACCCTGGCGCTRGCCAAGCACATGTGCTGGCCACCTGTGCCTCCAGAATTGTACCATGTCATGTCTCAGGGCAGCCCAAGCCCCCAGACCAAGGCTCTTCACTCAGCCCCTGGTCCTGACGAGGCACTGCTGGAGGGCCACCAGGAAGCCTCCGCCTACCAGGCTGGCCCGGCTGGCCAGGCCGAGTCTCCCTGAGTGCTAGGGCCCAGAACGCCTGCCCTTCCTCAGTGCCCATCCCCAAAGTACCTCCAGGCTCCTGACCGGCAGCACACGGGGCACACATGCTCCCAGGGCTCCCCTGCTGAGTGCAGGACACTCTCTCCAGGTGTGGGGCCAGCGTTTGTTGCTAAGGAGCCTCCTTCCCAGGGCTACACCCCAACAGTCCTGTCCCTGGACCGCAGGTCAGGTGGGCAGGGCTCTGCCTCAGTCCTTTCGCCCACTGACAGCTGAAGAGAAGGGAATGACACTTGGCTACACATCGAGAACCGACTGCCACCTCGGTTGGGGCTCCCACAGAGGACACCCGTGGCACCCCTGCTCTGTGCCCTGGGTGCCTGCTTCCCCAGGGCCCCAGACCTGCCACCCTGCCTTCCTAGGCTGTGGGACAGGCCTCCCGGGTTGGACCCCGTACACAGAACTAAGAAGCCATCATCCGGGCAGGGCCGAGGCAGCAGCCCTGCCCTCACTGTCCCTGCAGAGAATGGGACGCATGCCTGCTGCTTCCTCCAAGAGCCCAGGAGCACCTCCTCTGATCCCAGCGCAGGTGTGCCCCCAGGGTGCAACTACCTGGGTTGCCATGGGGGGGGGTGCAGGGAAAATGGACTCATCTCGCTCTTCCTTCCCTTTCTGTATGCTAGGCCCTGTCCCCACAGTGAGGGATACAGTAGCCACCAAAACAGCAACCCCTACTCTGAAACCTCCTGTCTGCTCTCCCACYGGCTGGCGCTGGGGATGGGGACAAAAGAGGAACAGGTGCATAGCATATGCACCAGGGCTGCCCTCCCTGGCCCTCCCCACTCTCTGACCTGCGGGGCTCTGGCCTTCTCGCTGGTTGAACTCTGTTAGAGCCAGTGGACAAAGAGCATCCCAGAGGTAGGACATTAGGTGGGACAACAAGAAACCTGGTGCCACTGGAGAAAGTGGAACCACTGACGGGGGCAAGAGCTGAGGACGCTGCTTTTAGGGGTGGYCAATGCTCCTGCAGCCTCCACATCACTGAGGTGTCAGAGCTGCTCCAGACACAGACTCAGCTTGCCTCTCCACAGGATCCAGATGAGCCACCAGCCTAGGAAGCTCTCAGTAAGTGTTAGCTGATCATTACAATTACTCCCCGTGGTAGTCAGCTTATTTGTCACTACAACCGAAAGATGTGACAAAAACAATTAAAGGAGGAAAAGTTTATTGGGGGATCATGGTTTCAGAGGTCTCAGTCCACAGACAGCTGAMTCCATGCTCTGGGCAGAAGGGCGTGGAGGAGGAAAGCAGCTCAGGACCTGGAACCAGGAAGCAAGAGAGCTCTGCTCACCAGGGAAGAAATGTAACTCCCAAAGGCACGCTCCCGTGACCTGCCTCCTCCAGCCACACCTAGCTAGCTGCCTATGGTTACCACCCAGCTGATCCATTCAGGTGGRCTGCCGCACTGATTAGGTCACGGCTGTCAAAACCCAATCATTTCATCTCTGAACTTTCTTTACTGTCTGACACATGAGCTTTTGGGGGGTACCTCATATCCAACCATACATTCCTGTTCCACAGACCAAAACTGAGGCCCAGGAGTGTGTGTGTGAACACTCCTCGTGAATGACAAAGGGCTGGGAGGGCCCTGCTGGAGAAGTCAGAGGCCAGCCCAGGATGCTCTTGTACCTTGTCATCGATGCATTTCACCTTGGTGGGAAGATGGGAAAGACACCTGGCTTGAAGGCTGAGGTCATCCCCTGCTGAAGCCCGGGAAGCAGATGTCAGAGTCCCGAGGACAGGACGGGACTTCAGTCACTTCTGCCCCATGCCTATGGCTGCCTTTGCTGAATTCCCCAAGGTTTTGTGCCTCCCTGCCATCAGTCCTAGGAGCCAAGAGAGAGCTGATAGGGTACCTAAGGGAGGAAGCAAGGGCAGATGTCCCCACCCCTTCCATGATCCTGGAACCCAGAGCACTGCCACAGACAGGACTCCCAGGTCCTGAAGCCGGCCTAGGGGCATGGAAAACTGATTTGTGGATGTGGCAAGGGTGCCCATTCTGTTTTCTCACTCTCTCTTTCCTCTGAGAGCCCACATTAGGACCTTCCTATTCTTTTCCTGTGCACTGAGGCCCACATTTTGAGTTGGTTCAGTCTTTGGAGGAATATTCCCTAAACCCCGAAAATTCTACAAGACTTAAAAAGAGCAGATGGGCTGGCAGCGCCATCTGCTGGCTGCCCTGGGCTCAGTCCCTTGTGAGGAGACAGAGACCTGGGGTGCACTACTGCATGCACCCCAAAACAAATAAGGAAACTGAGGATTAGATGCACCATTCAATAGTGGAGCCAAGATCTGGGACTAAGACTTAAAATCAGGGGTGCCCTTAAGCCGATCTCCCTGGGAACACACACTTGGATACTGTTTCTGGTCCTAGAGGACCAGAATTCCCTCCTTGAGGCTGGGATTTTCAACTCATCGTGCCCGTAAGAGAATCAGGAAAATGTACTCCTGTGCAGGGACCGGTTGGTGAAGGGTGCCAGAGCGGGCCACACCTCATACACCTAACCTAAAACTGAGCTTATGAATCAAGGAAACAAGACCCCCCGTGGACCCGCGGACTAGAACGGCCTTGGACCAACAAAGAAATGCATTTCAATCTGTTGCATGAGTTGGCCAGAAACTTGTGGACTCGCTTAGTGTCCTCCTGAGCCACGCTGTCCCCTGTTCCCGCCCCTCGCGTCCCTCCCGTCGTGCCCCGCCCCTTCCTCCCAGCCCGTCCCCGCCCCGCGTCGTGCCCTGCCCCGCCCCTCCCAGCTCGTCCCTCCCGCGGTCCCGCCCCTCCCGTTGTGCCCCGCCCCGCTCTGCCCGGCCATTTCCCCTCTCCCCGGACTCGTCTTCCTCTCCCTCCGACCCCCGGACCCCCAGCCGGCCGCCCAGACACCAGGTTCCTCCGTGGCCTGTGGCGGCGCCAACCCCGCTGGCGTGCTGGCGTGTGACCTTAGCACGCGCCTAGGTCCATCCGTCCCTTCCCGAGAGCAGAGCGGCTGGGAAGAGTCAGGAGTCCGGGTGGGCGCTGGCGGCTGACCGCCACCGTCGTCCCAGGGCTCCCCAGCGCAGGTTCCGCGGGCCCAGCTCAGTTAGCCAGAGGCTCCGGGCAGTGGTGGGTGTCCGCCGCCCATCCTGGGGCCCGCGCGCCTCGAGCTCTCACCCTGCCTCTGGTCTCGCCCCCGGCACGCTTCTCCATAGGCCCCGCCTCCCGCCCGCCCCGGCCCCGCCCCACTCCGCTGCGCGCTCGGTCTAGTCCCTGTCAAGTTCTCCGCAGGCCCCGCCTCCCGCCCGCCCCGGCCCCGCCCCGCTCTGCGCTCTCCGTCGAGTCCCTGCCAAGTTCTCCGCAGGCCCCGCCTCCCGCTGCGCGTTTGGTCTAGTCCCTGTCCGCAGGCCCCGCCTCCTGCCCTCCCCGGCCCCGCCTCCCGCTGCGCGCTCGGTCTAGTCCCCGTCAAGTTTTCCACCATCAACGCCCCTGTCCGAGTGACGCACAAGGCCTGCGCCGCACGACGTCGTGCACCATCAGGCCACGCCCAYGGGGGTAGCGTGCGGTGCGTGGTGGTGAAGTTAGGGCCATGGCGCGGGTGGCCGCCCCCCCGGAGGTGATCCGCGCAGCGCAGAAGGACGAGTACTACCGCGGCGGCCTGCGGAGCGCGGCGGGCGGCGCCCTGCACAGCCTGGCGGGTGAGCGCCCGGGAGGACGCGACGGGAGAGAGGCCGGCGCCACGGCGGCTCGGCCCCAGGCCCTGGCGGCAGGGCGCTGCTCCACCCCGGGCCGCAGCGGGCGCCCCGCCCTGGAGGCCGGGTCGGCGGCCGCGAGAGGGTGACGGTCAGAATAGGCTGTTGACGTGGCGTGTTTATTGGTCACACACTTTGTCGTACTCTGTGCCAGGCGCTGTGCTCCGTGCTTGTCCAAAGGTCACCCATTTACTCTTCAGACGTCCCCACAGATAGGACCTGTGGGCGTCACTCTCGCGACAGGTGGRCAAGTGGAGGTCCAGGATGGCTCGGCCAGGCGGCTGGAGCCGGGCGTGACTCCGGGCAGGCGGCCTCCAGCCTGTGGCCCAGCACTGCCTAGACTGGGGCCTGGGGCGGCGGGCCCTGGAGCGGGAGACAGCTGCAGCGGGTACTTCTCCGAAGGGGTCTGTGCCAAGGGAGGCCAGAAGAGAGAAGGGTGGTTGAGGGCTTTCTCAGCTTGCAGRAAGGGGAGGAACTTGATCTGGTACTGAGCACCTGGGGAAGTTTGTGGGCCCCCACCCTTAAAGGACCCCACCACTTCCCCCAGGAATGTGTTTTTCTCTTCTCAGGAGCAAAGAAGTGGTTGGAGTGGAGAAAAGAGATCGAGCTGCTCTCAGACATAGCCTACTTTGGCCTCACCACACTTGCAGGTACCACCCTCAGCAGGCGCTGGCACTGAGGGATCCACAACCCACCCAAGTCAAAGTCAAAGGATGGGGATGGGATGGGGGCTTCCAGGCAGAGTGAGAAGCTCCTGAAACTAGCCCACATGCAGCCCCAGGAAGGAAGGGACCACAGACCAGAGGAGGAGCTGCCTGGGACTCCCCAGAGCCCAGGGCTCAACCCCCAGCCGGGGGCCTTGCCCTCCATCATTTTTGTCCCTGGAGACCTTCTTCCAGGACTTTGCCCAGGGTGGTGTTTTTTCCAGTGGCTACCTTGGTGACACAAGTGGGTCACAGTGGTCACCCGAGTCCCAGGGGTGCTAGCAGTAATCTCTGATGGGGGAGTGAGAAGGTCAAGCGTGATGGTCATCCTTACAAAGATCTGATAGGCCCTCAGGATTGCCAATTCCGTTTKGGGACCCAGCAAAGATCACTGAACACACGCTAAATGCCAGCCAGTTGTAAAGAAGGGGGCCACCCAGGGGTGTCCTGCCACCCTGGAATGCTCTGGTTGCTGATAAGCACCACATAACTGCATTGTGTAGTATTGTGGGAGGTGATGAGCTCTTTAGGGGAAAGGGCCAGTTTTGAGAAAGAGCATTTCCCAGGGCCAAGAAGACCCTGATAAGGAGGCCTCCTTAGAAGGCTGAGAGTGCCCCCGAGAGAGAGTAGTTTTGTGATCTTTTAGCTTTTCCTCTGAAAGGTGGGGGTGTTGCAAGGACATGGGAAGGGAGAGGTCAGGCAGAGGTAGAAGCAGGGAGACACACAGGAAGAGATGTCAAGGATGCACTATGGGCTTGACCTCAAGAATAGGAGGGCCAGCATGGTTTTCCATGGAGACAGGGAGTGGGGAGCAGGCTTTCCCAGGTGGTCTGGAAGCTCTCTGTTGGTTAGCAGTGAATTGGGGATGATATCTGCTAGGCAGCTGACCTGGAAGCCGGGTATTTGGGAGTGAGCCCGGTCTGGGTTTGCACTGGAGTGTGTGGGAGGTAGGGAGGAACAAGACTGAGTCCTACCGCATGGGCAGGGAGTAGAGGGGCAGCAGGGGAGAAAAGGGGAACAAGCACAGGCTCTGAAGAGGATCAGAACCTGGGGGAACAGGGAGCACAGGTGTGTTAGCTTTCCATTGCTGCAACAAAAGCAGAAATGTCCAACTTGAAGAAGGAAAAGTTTATTTTGGCTCACTTGGCCCCGTTGCTTTGGGCCTCTGGCCAGGCAGAGCACCATGGTGGAGAGCATGTAAGAGCAGAGCTGTTTGACTTGTAGCCGCCAGGAAGCAGAGCAGAGAATAGAGGAAGAGGCCAAGGAATATCCTTAGTGACCTGCCTCCTCCAGCTAGGCCCCAGCTCCTAGTAGCCCACTCAACTATAAATTTACCAGTGGGTTAGTGCTTCAGTTGCTTCCCAAAAGCCCTATCGCTACATTGGGGACCAAACCTTCAACATGTAAGTCTGGGGGACTTTCCAGATCCCATCATAACAGGCCAGATCCCAGGAGCGGAGGACGGCCTGAGTGGCAGGTTGTGTCCCTGAGGTCACAAGGAGGCTATGGTGGGTTTTGCARTGGGAGGTCATGTTGGCCCTGCCCAGGGTTCAGGGTGACATCCTGAAGAGGATGAGTTAAAGGTGACAGTTGGGACTAGTGGACTGATGCTCGGGTACAGAAGCTGACTGAGGACAGGCTGACCACAGGAGCCTGTCCCTGCATCAGTGCACACCTGTCCTTGTCCTTCCAGGCTACCAGACGCTTGGGGAGGAGTATGTGGGCATCATCCAGGTGGACCCATCCCAGCGGCATGTGCCCTCCAGGCTCCGCCGTTGTATGCTGGTCACACTTCATGCAGTCCTGCCCTACCTGCTGGACAAGGCCCTGCTGCCCCTGGAGCAGGAGTTGCAGGCTGAAGGTGACAGCATGCGGCCCTCACAGGGTAGCCTGGTGCCCAGTGGGCGTGGCCGGTCAGGGACACGACGATGGGTTCGTCGCCACATGGCTATCCTGACCGAGCAACAGAGGAGGACTCTTCAGCGGGCCGCCTTCATCCTTAGACAGGGCCTCGCCTGCCTCCATCGCCTCCACATAGCCTGGTTTTACATCCACGGCATCTTCTACCACCTGGCCAAGAGGCTCACAGGRATCACTTATGTAAGTATAGAGCCAAGGGCCCCACCTGGACACCTAGATCACTGCTGCAGGGTCTGTGCTAGTGATCTATGTGATGATGCCATCAGTCAAGTGCTGCAGTCTGAGGTGGGAACGAGACCTCTACTTGGAAAACCATAGTTTTTATTCAGTTGCATTTTGCTGAAAGACCTGGGGAAGTCCAACTTCATGAACTCCGAGGGTAGGGCAAGTCTTTTTCCCTGTGCAGGGCTGCCAGGAGGTGGGGATAGGTCACTAAACACAGAGACCTTGGTCCAGTCTTGGGGCAGATCTGCAGCACAGGTCTAGACTGCGGCTGTGTACATTTTATTGCTTTGGGGAAGGAGCAAGTGGTCCCAGTCAATGCCGAGTGCAGGCTCCAGCCCAGTTCCCAGGGCCCCACTCACAYTGTTTTGCAGTCCTGGCACAGGGGCAGTGTCTTGGGTCTTGGTCCAGGGAGGTTTCTCCAACAGCTGATCATGTGGACAGCATCTCTGCCAGGCCTCCCTCGTCTGCTCCTGACAGCCACCCCGACTCTTCCTATCCTGGCTCTCCACTGGCACCCATGGAGCATCTCTCTGCCCCGAGCCTTGGTGCCCTCCCTCCTGGGCTACAGTGCTGCCTGAGTTTTTAGAAGGGAGGTCATGTTGGCCATGCCCAGGGTGACATCCTGAAGGGGATGAGTTAAAGGGTGACAGGTGGGACTGGTGGACTGGTCTTGGTCCAGGGAGGAATAGTAGGACCCCAGTACTCTCTTTGGCCACTGCACTGCTGCCTTGAGCCCCTCCCAGGTCCCTCTCAATCTTGCCTACCCCACCCCACATATAAGCAGGTCACCAGGATCAGTTGCAGAGTTGTGGTGGGGTCTCCATGTTCAGTGCACCCAGACCTGAAGGTATCTGTAGGTCCTCACGCCTTGCAGGATCTGGGTAGTTTGCTGAGTGGCTGTTCTCCCTCCTCCAGGGCCACTGTTGGCCAGGCACCGGGCAGGCATGGGGCTCCTCTCCACAAGGGCAGCGGGGCCAGGTTGGCAGTGGGGTCTGCCACCTCTATATGTGCTCCCTCTCTGGCCCAAGATGCCTATCTGGCTGAACTGACTGTCTCCACTTTGGGGCCAATGGGCTTTTTCTTCAGTAACATGGCCAGAAGTTACATTACTAGGTACAGGAGAGACTGGGAATGTGTGTAGGGTCAGGGAGCCATATACCTTGCTAAAATAGGGACATGTCTGTCCCTGTAACAGTGCAGCTGGTGAGGAGTGTCYACATGTCCAGCTCCATGTCCCCTCAGCTTCTCTTTGGCCCTTTTCCAGTTAGTCCCTTTTCTCCCCAAAAGGCGGTTACTGGGTGACCACAGAATCTTCACCCACTCCCCTGTCCTGTCCAGCCTCAGGCTCACCCCAATTATGCTGAGGATGGCCAGCAGTCCAGTCTCCTGCCTAGGGCCTCTTCCCTGAGTCTCCCCAAACCCACCCCCAGGCCTGGTCTCATTCTTTGGGCACTCCCAGCACCCTGGGAGGCCTGGGCCTGACAGAACAGGGGCTCTCTCGCAGATTTGGAGCCAGGTCCCCTTCAGGGTGCTGATGGCTCTGGGGCCACCTACCTTGACAGCTACGGATCCACCACCTGTCAGGAGAGGACCCACGGGCTCGCGCAAGCTACCGGCTGCTGGGGCTCGTCTCCCTGCTGCACCTGGCACTCTCCGTGGGGCTGCAGCTGTACGGCTTCAGGCAGAGGCGGCGAGCCAGGAAGGAGTGGAGGTTGCACCGCAATCTGTCCCACCGCAGGTGCGCAAGGGCTATTGGGGTGCTTGGGCATACTGCAAGAACTGGACAGCACTCTGACCTCGACTGCCCTGCCCTCCCCAGGAGCTCGCTGGAAGACAGAGCCGTTTCCCGCGCACCACTGTGCACCCTGTGCCTGGAGGAGCGCAGGCACGCGACAGCCACTCCCTGTGGCCACCTTTTCTGCTGGGAGTGCATCACTGAGTGGTGCAGCACCAAGGTGTGTAGCCAGCCCAAGCCCTTCTAAACGTCCCTCTGTCTGGGGTGGAGGGTGGCCTCATCTAAAAGCGCCCAGGTCAGTTAGGCGTGGAGCCGTGTTTAGGTAGAAGAGAAGTCCATGTGGTGAGCACAAGGCCCAGGCCATATTGCCCTCACCCTGCCCTGCCAGGCTGCACCCACCAGGGCATCCTATGCCCACACTGAACTCCACTTCTAGCAGGACAGGCGCCGAGTGGCAGAGTGCACATGCTGCATCCCCTAGGCAGCTGGGCACTTCCCTTGCTGGGAGGGACTACAGAATGGCTCTAGCCAGACAGCTCTTAGGGAGGGCGCCCTGGACATCATGGAGCAGGACAAGGACAGGAGAACTCATTCTTCTGGAAACACACCCAAGAGACTCAGTAATGCCAGTTGGATGGGCGTTTCTGAGAGCCCAGAGTACCAAGTGTGGAACTCGTGCACAGCAGTGCAGAGGGAGCCCTGTCCCAACGGGTAGGACAGGGTGCCTCCAGAATGGGATCTGGTGGGAAGACCTAAAAGAAAGGGTTCAGAGCAGTTCACGTGGCCCAATATCTGTCTTCCTGACGAAGCCTGAAGCCCCCCACAGCTGCCTGCCCAAGCACTGCTGGGCAGATACAGTGAAGCTCAGGCAGCAGAATAAGCCCAACAGGAAGGTCCCCAGCACCAGTGGTCCATAGGTGCTGAGGGTGAATGAGGAGCCCCTTGTGTGGTACCCTGAGTGTCCAGGGGCACAGCTGCTGTGGGCCAGAACTGACCATGCCTAGCACCACCACCCTGTCAGAGCTGGGGAAGGCTGTTCCATGGTCCTGAGCTGCAGATCATAGGTTCAGCAGGAAGGGGCAGCCCGTGTGTTGTCAGTGACCCTGCCATCCCCCACAGGCGCAGTGTCCCCTCTGCAGGGAGAAGTTCCCTCCCCAGAAACTGGTCTACCTGAGGCACTACCGCTGACTGTCACCAAACACCCTGGAAAGTGGATGGAGGAACCTCAAGAAGCTTATTCTCGAGATTCACTTAGTTGCACAGAAATCAGAACCCTTTGCACTGTGTTGCCACGTAAAGCTACGACTCCCGCCACCAGGCTAGAGGACAAAAAGCTGGTGCTGACGAGGGTGACCAGCCTGGCACTATAAGGGCTGCTTTGGCAGGTGGCTGTGGCCCACCAAGGGAGGGGCCAAAGCCCCAGGTTTGGCTCAGCTTAGGGCTTCTTCAGAGGTCCCTCGTTTGGACAAGGTCTCAGGATTCCCTCCCTTCCCCAGCCACAGAGTTGAGAACTAATTTCAAAAGTTGTCCAGAAAGAATTTTATTCACTCTGTTGAGCAGAGGACTCTCAGGAGGCAGGAGCTGAGCATCAAGTGGGGAGGGGGCAGTGTGCTCCAGCTGGGTGGTCACAGAGGCCCCCAGCACCCAGGCCAGGTAAGCCCATCTATAGGACTGGGTGTCAAGACCACACAGTAACCAAAGGTCAGTACCTCTGACTAAATATTTGGCACATATTTTTAATTCATGGTGTTTGCTTCCCATTTTTGGCTTTAGCACAAATGGGAAGGGGTCTCCCCAACTGCAGGGGCAGAGCCGGCTTCAGTGAAATTTCCTGTTGTTTTCTTTACATCTTAACTTGCTTCTGCTCTTAGGCTCCTCTGRGGAGCCTAGGTGAGCCAGTGCCCTCCCCCAAAGGCCCAGGTGGGCAAGCACGCTGCTTACCCAAGGTCATGCTGTGGCAGCCCCCTCAGCTTGTCCCCAGCCTGCTTCCTGCCTCTATTTGATATTTCCAGGTTTTCAAACTTAACTGGTGCCAGAGACAACTTGCAACGTTTAAGAAACTAATTCCACAGAAATGTTGGTCCATGGAGAACAAAGGATTAACCTGGAAGAATCTCATAAAATGTGTGGAGCTGCCCCCGGCAGGACCTCTGGGTTGTGTGGAATGTGGGGCTGAGGCCAGCCAGCAACATGGCTTTGCTGTGCAGCTGTTCCTAGTGAGCAGGGCCAGCGAACAGCAACAGGCAACTGCCCGCCCTAGGCTGGGAGGAGCACTGGGGATGGCTCCAGGGCTGCTGGCAGCAGAAGGCTCCACAGCCCCTGCAGGGGGCCTGGAGCACAGCTCTGCACAACCATGCCCAGCCCTGGACAGATGCACATGAGTTCCCATCACAGGCTCGAGTGTGACAGTCCCAGGTGCATGCCTGTCATGCCAGCCACCAGGGAGGCTGAGGCAAGAGGAAAGTCTGATGTCAGCTTTGGCAACTAAGACTGTGTGGCAGAGAGAAAAAAATTTACAGGGATCTTGGAGGGTGTGGCTCAGGTACATCACTTGCTTAACAGGCTCAAGGCCCTGGATTCAATCCCCAGAACCACACACACACACACAAAAAGTGAACTTTCAGGTACACAGAAGGACTTACAGATGATCTCTCACAGGAGCTCAACTTGAGATCAGAAGTCAACAAAAGACCGTCCAGACCATTGGCTCAGTGTCTGAAACCCTGTGTGTGCATGGGAAGCCCTGGTGCCAAGGCACCAGAGGGCCAGAGCACTTGTGCCTCCTGGAGGGGTGTCTCTTGGCTACCGTCAAAGACTGTTCCCCTCCCGGGACGGCTGAGAGCAAGCTGGGCCGTGGTGCAACGACTAGTGCTTTAGGTATAGACTATGCAAGCAAAGGACACTGTCTTTTAATAAAACTGGAATTAAAAAGTCACTTAGTAAAGTGTTTAAGAGTATTTTTTTTATCATATTAAAAAAGTTGACATGCGGTAGGTTCTATTTCCCTTGTAGAAAATGAAAAGCTGTTATGTTAAACTCACAAACCTGGCCTGCTCTGACCAGTTTTGGTGTTTCCTTACAGGGGCTGAAAACATTTATTAGTCAAAAGCAAAACAAACTCTTCATACGTATCAAAGAAATGTGTCAAAATAATCTCAAACAATTAAAATATAATATGTTTATAATTTCAGGCCCTCAGAAGCAATCATGGTAGTTAAGAACAGAGTTTTGAGTCATCGCGATAGAGGCCAGCTTGAAAACACCTCCAGTGAGGTGAGGTTTGGAAACTGGCATGAGAACCCCAGAGTTACTTGAAATCAACCACCTGTGCAGCATTACGTTCTCTGGCACGCAGGAATCGGATTGGCATGGTCCCTCCGGCCTCACCGTGGCTGGGAAACAGCCCCACGCAGAGCAGCCAGCTCCTCTTGTAGCCTCGCTCCTGTCCTCCCTCCCACCCCTTGCTCCTGCGGCTGCTGCCCGCCTGGCCTCTTGAGCCTGCGGTTAATACAATGCCGTCCTTTGAAACATGTGGACACCACTGAAATAGAAATCAATGCAATCTGGTTTAAATGCCAGTTTCTTCAAGAACCTGTATTTCAGTTACAAATCATTGAGGCTCCTTTTTAAAAAGAAAATTCAAATCCCTTGTAATCAACTACTTTATGTGAAGAAAAAGGCATTGTTACAATGGCTCAAAACCGTCTTGAACACGTGTGCCAGATTCAGTCCAGCTTCTAACTAGCAAACGTCTTGCCCACGTCCTCCTTCCCTTTGTATCTCCTCTTTCCATGTGTGAATGGTATGTACCGGTATTTAATCATGTGCTGGGAAAACAAACACAAACAAGCTTGAGTTACTTCACAACTGTCCCCCGAGGGGCCACACTTCCCCTAATCTCAACAGCCAAAGGTGCCCCTCAGTCTTCTCTACATGTCACAAGTCATGAAAACTGCCAAAGCCCAGCTGACCTGGCCGAGCCCTACCTGAAATCCCGACTTTCAGGGAATGTTTGGTGAGCCCTGTGTGGGAGRGGAGGGGTTGGCAACACCACCCCGCCTGCAGAGCCCTGAGTTTTAAATTAAGAAGAGCCACTGAGACCCTGCAGGCCCAGGAATGACCTGGCACAACCTGGAACTTTCTCCCCAGCTCTCAGCCAGCTGCCCGAGGGCCCGCTGGTTCCCACGTGGAGATCTACAGATTTGTGCACACTGCCTCCACGATGGGGAGCACGGGGTCCTCACCATGCACCAGGCAGTGCTGGCCACTCCTAGCAGGCCCTACCTCCTACTGCACAGCAGAGACCTGGGCACGCTCTCCCAGGGCAGTGACAGGACAGAGCACAGCAGCGCTGAAGTCTTTACCTTTATTTGCCTCTTCATTGTGATACAGAAAAGCATGATGAAGTACATCACCAGGATCGGCCAGAACACCGGGACATTGAAAGCCTCGAAGAAGGTGCAGACCATTGCCACCAGGATGCCCTTCGTGGCCGCATGCCTTGACATGAGGAAAGAAGTTAGCAGTGCTACCTGTGACCATAATCTGGCAACTGCCAGATTTCCCTATCTTCTAGCCTCCAGTTTTCCCTATCTTCACCCACAAATGAGCACCTACTGTGTGTGTGCACTACCCTGAGCCTTAACCGCTTCATCCTTTCAGTCCCTCAAGCTGAAAAAGCCTTAAACTTACACAAAGTACAACATGCCATGCTGAAGCCGATGCACCCGTGTGCTGCCCAGGCCTGCTGTCTGACCCGAGGTCCCAGCATGTGATGCCCTCACTTCCAATAGTTTCCACACTCCCTGCTTAAACCCCACTGCTCTCCCTCCCTGCTTCCAGGGCCCATGATCCCCCGCCCTGCACTCCCTCTCCCCAACTGCCCCACACTCCAGCACCTCAYACTGTGTCCCATGCCCAGTGCTAGGGCTGCAGGATTAGTGCCTGAAGCTGGAGAAACCCAGTTTGCTCAATTTAGTGACCTAACAAAGACTTCAGTTCCTCCTGGGTCCCAGAACAGGGGTCCCAGAAACAGGACAGGGGGCTAGTCRCAGAACTCCCGACCCTCCGGCAGAGGGGTACATGAGGAGCTGGATCCAACCACATGTCCCTGCATCACACTCCTCCTTGCCTCCTTCTAGCTACACGGGACCTAGTGTACACAAGGACCAGCCCCTGAGGGTAGGCCCAGACCCATCACCAACCTGGCCACCTCTCTCAGGAACTAGGCAGGGGCTGGGGCTCAGTGGCAGAGTGCTTGCCTAGCACATGTGAGACACTGGGTTCTATCCTTAGCACCACATAAAAACAAATAAGATAAAGACATTCTGTCCATCTATAACAACAAAATAAATTAAAAAAAAAAAAAAAGAATTAGGCAGGCAGAAAATAAGTTCAACTCTACTGGCCATGGGAGGCCACAGGGCCCAGAGGGCAGCTGCCTGGGCCTGCCCTTCTGAGGCTCAAGTGTGCAAGACAGCAGCTCCCTACCTCTCAGAACAAGCCTGCCAGCTCCAGACATCACAAGGTGGCAGTCTGCCCCACACCACCCAGCCAACACATTTTGGGTGAATGAAGATTGCAAAAAAATGAAGCACACCAAACCCACTCCTTTAAGAAGTCTTAACTGGTGGCTGACTAGAACAAACTGACTCTTCTCAGTCTCCTCAGCCACACTCAAGCACAGGCCAGACAGACACCTTTCAGAGTCAGAGGTGCAGTCAAGTGTGGCACAGCACAGGAGGGCATCTATGGGGGACAGTACACTGCATGCTTCACAGCAGCTAACAGGATCGTGACTGTTCCCAACACAAAGTCTTGGCGAATACCTGCAGTAATGGACATGCCAGCTTCCTGATCTGACAGGTACATGTTGTACACATGCACTGACATGCCACACTGTACCCCGTAAGCACACAGTCACCACGTGTCAAATACAAATACAGCTTAAAAAGTTTAATAGGAAAAAAAAAATAGCTCACCAAAATTTAAACTCTGGAAGCCTTCGAATGAAGGGGCGAAATTCCTCATTCTGTTTGGTTGGTAAGGAAGGGCCATCGTCTGAAAGGCAGATTACCAATCCGAGATATAGCACTTGCCTCTCATCTTTTTATTTCTATCACTACATTCAGAAGCTTTCCCTAAAAGTTTTAATTAGCAGGCCTCACATTCGGAAATAGATTCACATTATTTAGCCAAAGATAAAATGGGGGTCTACTGCCAATTTACAAATCAATTCAATGCTTTAAAAGATTCAATTTAGACTTTCTTTTGAAAGACTTCTACACATTTTGTATGCATAAAAAGAATTCAATTACGCACAGATTTTTCATCAATTATAGGACATCAAGAAAACAAAGGGACTGGGGATGGAGCTCAGTGGCAGAATGCTTGCCTGGCATGTTCCATCCCTAGTACCACCAAAAAAAAAAAAAAAAAAACAAGGAAGAATTACATTTACACAAAACAAGCAGTAAAGAATGCAGGCAGGCTGTGTCCTTGCCCACAAGAACTGTGGGACTGCAGTGAGCTGCTGCAGGCCATGCTCTGCTCATCCACTGCACGCACCTCATTTACAGAGAGAGAAACTGAGGCCCCAGGAAAGGGTCTTATCTAATCTCCTTCAGATAGCAATTAAACGGAAGGGGCTGTACTTCCTTTAGTGTTTTCATTAATTATTCTATAAAGAAAAACCAGACTTCTGATCTCCAACTCAAACCCCACTCTCGAGCACCTCCCACAACAGAGGACCCTGGGGCCCAGGCAGCCAGTGTGCCCTGACAGAATCACACATCGTCTGTGCCCCCAGCCCCTCCCTGGCCCAGGCAGGGCAGGAACAGCAGGAACCTCGCAGACATGACACAAACACGCCAAGCACATTTCACTGTCTCAGAAACCAGGGAGTGCTTGCCACCTCACCCCAGCCTGGCCACCAGCAGCCAGGGTCTAGTGGTCTGTGCTGATCCTAGCAGAGAGCCCGTGTAAACCTCTGGTCACCTGAGAAGCCAAATGGTAAGTCCTACGGCAGGGCCAGGATGGGCTGCCTATAGAAGGTGGAAACCTAGAGGCAGGCTCAGCGCCCCTTCCATTGGTCCCCTTCTCTGCCAGATAACCCCACGTGCCTCAGTCTCCTCATCCATAAAACAGGGACATCAGTGAACACCCCGACAAGGCTGTATGAAGGCTGAGAGTGCTCATGCTAACCCGRCTACCACAGGTACGTGCAAGCACCTGGAGCACAGCCCTGCGCGTCCCTGGAGTACGTGCGGCCTCCCCAGGAAGGCACAGAGGCACCCACTGCCCACACAGCACTGTGGATGGCCTCTGCTTTACCTGAGTCTTCCATTAAGGAAGGGTCCACTTTGGGAGAAAGGAACGCTATGAAAAGATTTAGATGGTAGATTCCCAGGGCRTAGGTCACGATGTACCAACCCTGGAAGAGAAGGAAGCATAGTGTTAGTGAGCAGCCCACCCACGCAGCCCGAAGTGCTTCACTATGCCTGTGCCCCTTAACCTGGACTAACCTGGGAACAGCAAGAGACGCCAGCTTAAGTGACAATGGAAATGTCCATGGTGACCATTTACCTCAAATTACTCTGTGGGTCTTGAGACTAATGTGATGACCCAGGGTCCAGGCAGCAAACTCCTTCAAGTGTCCCACTAGATGCACGTGACACCTGCAGCCAAGGGTTCCCAACCAGAAGTGCAACAGAAAAGGAGGCTTTCCTCAGAAATCACAGGCCTGCCGTACACCATGGGGCTGGGGTGTGGCCTGACACCCTGGGGGACGCTGGCCTGCACTCTGGCCACAAGCCCCGCGGGGAACAGATTCACATGAGACCCAAGACATAATCTTAGCTGGTAGCAAAGACAAGGTGGCTGGTGCTCCTCTGATGGATAAGTAGTGCCTGCCTGCAGGTTCCCAGGACCAGAACATGAGGACGTCTGTCGAGGATGAGGGTTACAGAAATTTCTGAGCCAAGCCTTCCTTAGAGATGCCAAGAACTGAGAACCTATGGCAGGCCCTACGTGCAACACGCTGAAGCACCAAGCTCCTCCTGGTGAGTACTATAACTGTATTCTCAGTCTTCAAAGCCTGCAYTTTTTCATAAACAAGAGGAAATCTTTCTGCAGAAAAGTTTTAAATCAGACAACTACAAAGTAGGTATGAAATCCCCTTAATGCAAAGTATAACCACACGTAGGGCCAAGCCTTGAGGGCCACCAGATCAGACACAAATCTGCCTCCAAACAGAGTGGAACTAACCTTTGTGTACTGCCCTACCCCCCCCCCCCCCCCCCCCCCCCCCCCCCCCCCCCCCCCCCCCCCCCCCCCC